CCGCCTGATATTCTGCTATTTTCTGAAGCCAAACCTAAACACAGGCTGTTGCCTCCCTCCCCGTGGGGTCATCTCCCATCGACCCTTTAAGACTCGGTCCGAATGTCGCCATCTCTGGGAAAGCATGGTACAATGAGACGTGCATACGCTTTGGAGCTAGATGGGCCTGAATTTAAATTCCCATGTGACTTACTACATGTATGATCTTGGGCAAGAAACAGGCTCTCAGAGCCACAGTTTCCTCATCTGTAGACTGCATGCACCACCACTCACCGCACAGTGTATTATGAGAATTCAACTACTGAACACACACACACCACCAGGCTTGTAGTTCAAGCTTCCTTCACAAAAGTCGGTTTTCTACCCTTTTATCTTTCCTTCCCTGCAACCCCACCTCTGTCAAAACTCCTCCTATTGTACTTATCACATTTCACTTCTGGAATGTGCCCAGAGTTCACATCTTAATGCTCTTATAGCTTCAGGGCGGCCCAGCCACAACTATTTGATCACAGATTCGTGTTATCAGGACAGCTGCAGCTGCTGCCTGCCCCACAGCGATGCACAGGGGCAGAAACGCTCGCTTTCTGCTCTGGGAGGCGTTCTCTAGGCTGGGTGGCTAAAGAAGTCACTCTTCCAGTGGGGGTATTAACATAAGGGTGAGCTGGGGCTGGAGATCTGTTCTGAAAATCTTTAAAAGAATATATTTTGTTGCTTCTTAGCCGGAACGATGTACGGAATCCTGAAATTACGGGCCCCATGAGGGGCCCCACACCGGTCACCGTCTACTCTGCGCAGCGCTACCTGGGAGGCAGCGCCCACCTTCGCGCGCGCACACCAGGGCTGCCGGGCCGCGCTCACCTTCTCCCGGGGCTTGATGTACTTGTGCAGCACCCCACACAGCTCCAGGTAAGTCCCATACCACTCGAAGGCTTTCTTGCCTCGCTGCTGGAAGAACTTCTCCCAATAGTCAACGGAGCCAAACTCCTTGGAGCTCTTTGGTAAGAGATTCATCTTCTCACCGTGTCTTCGACACCGTCCGAAGCCCTGTGCGGTACCAACGGAGGGGCTTCCCTGCCCGCTGGCTCCAGGACGCTGCAGTGGGAAGTCTTCCTACGGACAAGCAGCCGCATTGACTTGTCCCCCGCTCAAAACACAAAGGAACGACCCTTAGACGCCCACCGCACGCGGGGGACGCTGAACCTGACACACGCTCACCCTCTCCCCGCACCGCCCCGACAGCGCTGCCTCACGTGGGCAGTCTCTCACTTTCTCAGAGCTCCGCTTCGGAACCCGCAATCATATCCGGGTGCGAAGGTTCGCGATTGGTCGGCCGCCCAGACCATCCCAGCATCTCATTGGCCACTGGTTTTCGTTCCTGACACCTCATTGGCTGCGACGCGCTCGCCTCAAGCCGCCTGCGTCGCAGGCGCGGAGCGCTTATTTACGTGAGACGGCAGGGGGCGGGCCCCCGGGCGGGTTGACCCCGGGGGGTCGGGGCGGAAATGGCCTGCTGCCAGGACCCTAGGCTCGGGTCAGAGCACCGGGCGAGGGCAGCCGTCTCAGATCTGGGCTTTCCGACGGCGGCTGACAGCGCGCAGCCTTCCTGGGCTCTGTGTTCGCTTCGTTTCCAAGCCGGCCTCTCCACCAGTTCTGATCATGAGCTATACAGGGGCTGAGCGCGGCTGGGGGGCCCGCTGGAGGAGGAGGAGTTCCTCCCGAAAAGAACAACCTGTAGAAGGAAGTGAGGTAAGGGATGAGGAGAGCCGGTCCACAGCAAAACAAAACTGCCCATCCTAGCCATTTATCTTCTGCATCTCTCGCCCCACCCCCGCCTCAGTTCAATCACTTGACCTCCATAATTCAGATTTAATTTGGAGAATAGCACTGGCCTGCACTTTTTCTATACCAGAATACAGGGTTCCACTATTAATAATGTAATAACATGAAAATTCAAGAGAAATGAATAACAACTAGGTGTTCAGAGGTGCCGCCTCTTTTTCTCCTCCCCTTAGAGCCCAGTATGTGAAACTTACGACCCATTTTGACAATCTGCCTCCTTAGGCTGTCACTCTGATGTCATCTATAAGTGGTTACGACTGCTTATTTTATGTATATAATGACCATGCTGTACTGTCAGATGCTCATCTTATCCTAATACCCTAAGGAAGTTCCTGTGAAAGGCACTGTTTTTACAAAGACTACAATAGGTGCTTCATTGGCTTTTCTCAGCACTCTGAATCACAGGAGGCATACAGCCTGAGGAGAGCAGTGGGGCTCAGAATTGAGCATCTGTAGCCTGGGCTGTTAGAGACCTCACTAGCGTAGACAGTCAATAGTTGAACAGGTTAAAGTAAACTTACTGGCTTAAATGTTCTCAAACCTTGGCATGCAACAGAATCCCTTGGAGGGCTTGTTAAAACAGATAGCTGAGCCCCATCCCCAGCAATTCTGATTCGTCAGTTCTATAGTGGGGCCCAAGGATTTGCACTTCTAGCAAGTTTCCAGGTTATACCGAGGATGTTGATCCAGGGACCACGCTTTGAGAACCACTGTTTTAAAATAGGATTAAGAGAAGTCAAAATGGATATAGTTTCAACTCCATAGTTTTAAAAGGTTACTCCAAAAACCCTCAAAAAGTAACAGCAAAGAAAATATTTTCATGTACCACCTGCTGCCTTCACATTATTTCCTCTCTACCCAAGACAAGGAGAACTGGAAGGAGTGGCTTCAGCCACTACGTCATGCAGGGTCCCTAGTGGATGGGGTGTGGTTCTTTCAAAAAGTGCTTTTGTGAGCTGAGGACACTTTGTGCTTGAAGTGCGACCTAATACCAAAGAAACAAACAGCCTCTGCCCTCTCGCCCCAAGGGTTTATTTATACAATCCAATGAACATTTAAATTTTAGAAATACTTGAGAAATAACATTAGACTATCTTTTAAAATACTTATAATTGAAACATTTCTCCCAAGGTTTGACCATGGAATATAATAGGTATGTTATCATTCGTATAGTTCATTTAAGCCAAATTAGATAGTAAAATGCCCTGTGTTTTATTAAGATCCCCGGAGTGGTTACCAGTATGATTTAAAATGCAAACTGAGTTTAAATAAAGCCATTCAATACTGTGGGGTTTTTCCTAAAACTACAAATCCGGACCTCTGGGTATATAATTTGCAGTTAGCCTTACTTAATTGAAACATAAGATTTTTGATAATAATATTCAATTAATAGATTGCTGCTAAGATAATTGCAAAATAAAGAATAAATCATTGAAAGCATTTCTCACAGTTTGGGGGACAGATGGGAAAGAGCATGTGGGTAGGCACAATAACATTCCCCCAAACATGCCCACGTCATAATCCACAGAACTAGTGAAGTTAGGTTACATGGCAAAGGGGAGTCAAGGTTGCATAGCAGCTGACTAGTCTAGATTATTCACATGGGCCCAATGTAATCAGAAGAGTCCTTAAAAGTGGAAGAGGGAGGCAGAAGGAGAACCAGAGAGGAGGCGGCAGAAGGGCTGGCCCAGCATCGCTGGCTTTGAAGATGGAGGAGGGGGCCATAAGCCATGGAAAGTGCCTTCCAGCCTCTAGAAACCAGGAAAGTCAAGGAAACGGATCCTCCCCTGGAGACTCCAGAGGGAATGCAGCCCTTAAGATGCCTTGATTTTAGTCCAGTGAGTCCCTGTCAGGCTTCTGACCTCCATAAACTGAAAGGTAACAAATTTGTATTGTTACTAGGTTTTGGGTAACTTGCTACAGTAGCAATAGAAAACTAACACAGAGCATAGGTTTTGGGTAACTTGCTACAGTAGCAATAGAAAACTAATACAGAGCATAAACGTGAGAGGGAGTCTGCGGTGAGGCAGACCACAGTGGGAGAGCAGCAGAAAACTAGAAACTGAGGTGGAGGTCAGGCTCTGAGCAGTTGTCTATTCCCAGCATTTAGATTAAACCTGCCAGGACACAGGAAGCCAATAGAGAACTAGGGTCACAGCTGAAAAGGACTGATACGAGAGATGTTCTCGGGAAGGACTGAAGCATTTCATGATTGATTGTAAATAGGGAATAAAAGGCAGGGGCCCAAAATGGCTTTCACGTTGGCCTCTGGGTGACTGCGGACAACTGTAGAAAGAAACAGGGAAGGAGAAAGGCATCATTTGTAGAACGAACTGTTGCTTGAGAGGAATTTAGAGGTCATTACACCAGGAAAACCCAGAGCCAGAGCTAAAAGCCAGTGTCCCCACCCTGCATGCCTCTCGCAGGGCTCCCACCCTTCTCGAATTCTGTCGGTGGTATCCAATTGGAATTAGGGGTCGGAAACTATTTCATACTGGAAGTCTTCTTTGCAGATAGGTTTGTTTTCCACATTTAAGAAGAAATTAATGGTTTCCTCTGTCTTGGACTAATGGAAGACAGGCGTGACATCCGAGGATAATGATGTACCATTTTAGGAGCTGGCATCAAACCTTTCTTGAGGGTATGGGCCTGAGCAGTAATTCTCCAGCTGACATTAGGGTGGACATATATACCCACACATAATTGAGGTAAAACTCCATCAAAAATAAATGAAAAAGTTACATATGACTAAGTGAATTCAGCCATGCCTCCTCTGAGTATTACATCTGCTCTGTCACTGCACATCTGCAGGCACACTAATTTCCTTAGGTGCAGGGACTGGTAAGCATTTATATCCTTTTATGGGTGTGGCATGCATGGCAAGTTGTTTGCCTTTGGGGCTAGTGGGCAGTAACAGTTTGAAAACTAGAAAGCTGGGAGAGGAGGGATGTTCTGTGCCTGGTGCATCAGCACCTACATGAGGGCCACAGGCCCCCTTCTAGATCCTGGTTTTGTTTTTTGCAGCCTGGATACTGGGAAAGATGACGGTGTTTTCTGCATCATTTAATTCTAAATTAAGTTCCTTTGCAGGAAAATGGAAACAACCTTGGAAAACAAGTTTTTCTCCTAAGCTCTAGCACTGAGCACATCTACCACAAACATCTCATGTATCCCATTGTATTGAATGTTATCTATCCTCAGCCTACCAAAACAGGGAGTTTGGAACAACATGTAATGAAAATTATTTTGTGTTTCCACACAAGGTACAACTTTAATTTCATGCTGGAGATGGTAACATTAATCTTGAGTGCTACTTCAAAGTGAATAAATTCATCCATCAGCTATGTGACAGGTATTGTCCAACTCTGGGGATATAAAATGGTAAACACGGTTTGCTGACCTCCAAGAGCAAATAATTCAAGTTGGTGAGGCTGGAACCCCGTTCTGACTCTAAGTCTGATGTTTATTTTCTTTCAGGCTTACTGTTTTATCTGATTTATTAACTGTAAAATGCCATTTTCTAAGCTTTCAGAAATGTTGGGCATAGTCAAAGGGACTTTGTTTGGATGATTAAAGTGTGGGGCTCACATTACCCTTCCTCTAACCAATTATACCAAAATGGTTGGCAGAACTAAAGAATTATGGTTAAAAAAATGGTTTATTCATAGAAGCTATGCAATGGCGTGCCCATAGAGCTCAACAATCATAATGCCTTAAGCTTTTGTGTAAGAAGGGCTGAAGCTGTAATTGGCTAAAGCTCTAATTGGCTAAGGCACCAAAGCAGTGAACCACCCCACAACAAGCAGATGTACAGATATAAAAACAACTGTAGACAAAAAAATAATAATAACTTCCGAGTCATGTATGGAGTCTGGGGTAGTCACCATCAAGCCCCGGGGCAGAAGCTATAAGCAGCTTTCCTTCCAGGTGGGCCCTTTCAAGTCCAAGTCAGCCTGGGCATGAGTAGTAGACAGAGAGGAAGTGATTCTAACACCAGCCTTTCAGAAACTTCCATTAACATCCCAGGCCAATTCAGAATTTCAGAATAGTGCCTGGGCGTCAGTCATTTTTAAGTCTTTTCAGGAGATTCAACTACGAAATTAACTTGAGAGATATGTCCTAACCAAACTATCTTTCAATTAGTTACTGTGTGTTTGCCTTAAATATGCACTAAGTGAAAACATTGTATCAACAAACAATAGGACCCATAGATACTAAGTAAAAAAAGATGTGTAGCAAACAAATCGTAGGGGGGGGAAATGAGAATCCAGCTGGGGCATGTGGGGGAGGAAGGGATAAATAAAACATTTTGAATTACGATGCCCGTAATTAAACTGCAAGTTTAATATGCTAATTATAAGGGGGCGGGAGGGAGTGTGTGAAGAGAACAGCGGAATGGGCTTGCGAGGGTGATTTCCCACCTGAAGCCTCAAGGGCTCGGGAATCTGCCTAGTGTCTGGACCTGGTTAAGTTCGAACTCTAAAGGATACAGAGGAAAAGAAAGCCCTCCTCCCAAATTAGCTGTGCAACCTCTCAAATCAATCTTTCTGGACCCGAGATTCCTCACGTCTAAAATGAGGAGCCTGGATTAGAAACCCTCGAAGTCTAACTCCGATTCCACAATCAAGCGGTCACACAGATCTCCCTGCTTCACAAAGAAAACCGTAGACGTTCCAGCTTCGAGCCCCCGACCCCGTTTTTTTCTCCTCGGCTTCCTTAGCCGGGGATGGACCGCTCACAACGCGCCGCCCGGTCCCGAGCGACTTCTCAGAGCTTCCCCCACGAACGCCCTCCGCGCACGCCCGGGCCGGAATGCGACCTCGAAAACCAGTCCCAATAATATCAAAAGCACGATAATATAATCCTGGGGATCCTGATCTAAGCTCCGCGTCCGCAAGGCCCTTCTCTGGGCGGAGCGAGCAGAGAGCGGCATCGACTCCCTCGACGATCGCCCGGCCTGGCCCCGCCCCCTCCGCCTGGCGCGGCCGCGGAGCGCCGATCGGCTCGATGAGCGGGGGCGCAGCTGCGGCGGAGCGGCCGACGCCGGGTGGGCGCCCACTGGCTCGGCTTCCCACTTCCCTCCTCCGCTCCCCGCTCTCTCCCCGGGCCGCCCAGCGGCCCCCGCCCCGAGAGCTGCCCGGAGCTCCCCGGGAGCCTCAGGTATGTGCGCCCGCCTGTTCCCGGGGGAGGGGGGAGAATGCGAGGAGGACGGAAACGGAGACGACGCCCCTGCTCCCCAACGTCCATCGGCCTGCACGACCAGCGTCGGGGGCCGGGGAGGGAGCCCCGGCGGGCAGTGGCCGGGGTCGGGCTGGGGGCGCCGTGCGGAAGGACGACAGGCCCGGGCGTGCGGATGGGGGGCGGTCGAGGGCGAGACGAGCGGGACGGAGGGCGCCGTGGGCGCCGGGAGCCTGGAGAAGACGGGGAGGCAGCCGGAGGTGAGCGGGTGTCTTGGGGCAGAAAGGACCCGAGTTAGGAGCCGAGCTGGTGCGACAGACGGACCGCGGGAGGCGGACGGAACTGCTGGCTCGAGGGGGCTGAGTGCCGGGATTTAAAGGGCTCGGGTGCGGACGCCGGCCCGCTGCGCTTACAGTGACGGGCAGGTGGGGGCAGCCTTCTCCCTCGGACGGGTTTTGTGAACCGCGTCTCCAGGCTGTAGGCAGCTCGAGTCCCTCCCTTCCCTAAACCTGCACCAACCATGACTGCTGACGGGAGAGGAGGAGTCAGAAAGGGAGCAGGGAGGCCGGGGGCAGGGAGGCTCTGCCCAGGTGCGAGCTTTTTGTGAAATGAAATACGGAGGGGCTTTTTGGTTGGTTGGTTTGAGGTTGGTGTTTCTGGGGGTTTTGTCTTTTTGTGGGGTTTTTTTGCGTAAAGTGAAAAAGAAGGCGACCTTTATTAAACAACAGGTTAGAAGTGTATTACGTGTAAAGCCCCTGAACAGAGGAACGCACCACCTCTTCCAAAAAATACATGAAATTGTAAGCATTTGAGGATGGCATAAGAAGCATACGGTGTTGACCTTTTTTAAAGCAATCTGTGTATCGGCGTTACACCTTCAATGTTGAAATGCATCGTGAAGACTCTTATTTACATATATACCTAGGCACAAAGCCCCGATTGCATATGTATTTGTTTTGCAGGAGAAATCTTAGGTAGAACACATGTAAGTCTCATTTCTAAGCATGGTGTATTTCTACGAGTTGTTTAGTACAAATATCACCAGTTGCCCTGTGGTTCCTGATGCCGGATTTAATCTGCCTGCTGCTTTGCTGATGGTTTTCCTGTTTGTCAGACACTGGCATCTTGCCTTTCTTGGTTGGATATGGGACCTGAATATAGGGCATGCTCATCAGTAAGTTAATAGCTTCACTGTATATTTCATACAGATATTATGTAAGTCTGCCTGTGATTTGCTCTGGAATGTGGAGGCAGCCCCTTTTTAGGGTTTAACATGTAAACGAAATACAGATGTAATTAAAAGAAAAGCTCAAGTTCTTCAGTTGCTTCCATTGTCATTTGTTTTTCCATGCCTTCTGTAACATTTCTGCATGAATAAATTATTCTGAAATCAGAGTAGGAGGAATAAAGTGGGCCAGGTGTATGACAGAAATTGTGGACTGAACTCTAGAGCCTTTACAAGAATTTGGTTTTTGTGGCACATGGTTAAGTTTCTGGTTTGGAAGCATTTCTTTTCAAAGAAAAGTATCAATTTGTTTTGACGGGAAGCGAACTTAAAACATAAGAGGAAAGACGGCTGCTGGGTTGTTACAGGGTGGTGCTCTTTCTAGAACAGAACTGTGTAACCTGATGGGAGACTAACTGAATAAACGTTACAACTGATCACGCACAGCCGTTGATTAATTTAGGCCTGTGTTTCTGCTATTTCAACGAGCAGAGTGACTAACACTGTTAGTTCCTTATCTTTACTAAGACTTAGCTTCTCTTAGTTTTCTAGTGTTTCAAAGAAAAGGAAATGCGCACAAATCACTGAGCACAGTGCCAGTACATAGTAAAACATTGGGCAAACCTTAGCAATTTCCGTTATTCATCCACCTTCCAGTCCAAGAAACTGAAACTCATGTTTGCTTGTGTCAGCTTTTTCTCAAGAAAATTTGAGTATGTTGCATACTCCAGCATTTTCCTGGAAAATCACAATGCATATTTGCATATAAAAGGCTGTGTGACTTTCTGTGGGGGGGGGACTAGCTTTGTTGAACAGTGCTTACCAAAGATCCATTTCCTTGAAACACTTAGTGCTGTGCTTCAGGATGGGATGCTATAGTTTACAGAATGTTTTTGCATGTATTTGATTAGACCATCCCAATTCCATGCAGAAGCCTAGAAAGCATTATTTTACAGACGAGAAGCCTGAATCACTGTTCCAGCAACTATTATAACTACAAGTGAGAACTGGAAGTGTTTCACTGTCTTCTGACTCCAAGTTAAAATCCTAAAGCATGTAATGTCTCATATTCAGGGAAGTTAACGTCCTGTTTTTCCCCTTTCCTGTACATACAGCCTTCTCTTTCATTTTATAAAGGCTTTGTTGCTGATTCCCTCCACATGTTCTAAGAAAGTTACACCCGTTTTCTCACAGTTTTAATGATGTCTCCTGTATTGAAGCCTAGCATGGAGGCCCTTCAGGGCCCCTGGAGTAGAGCCAGTGAGAAGGGAGCAGTTGAAGTCAGAGAAGTGAAGGAGGCCCCATCACACAGGGCCTTGTACCCCGTTGTAAGTAATTTACCTTTTACCCAATGTCTCATATCTGACGTAATCTATTTTCTCCTTAAGGTGGTGAATACTTATTCTGCTGGGAAATAGAAGAGTACTTCCAGAGCAAAAAACATGCCTCCCAAGTTCAAGCGCCACCTAAATGATGATGATGTCACTGGTTCTGTGAAAAGTGAAAGGGTAAGTTCAGAATCTTAAGCTTTAAAATATTAATATTGCTAACTCAAACGTTTTTTTCATTGGAATTTGCTGATATATCTTTTCTACCTCTTTTTTTCATCTTCTATTTGACATTTGTTTTCAGTGAATTTCTTTTGCACAGATATTGGCTGGAACTTTTTGAACTCCACCCGTGTATAGTTTTTTACTTTAATGGGAAAACTCAAACCATTCCCGTGGATTCTGACTGGCACACGGAGGCTTCCCTGCACTCGCCGGTCCCTCTGCTGGCACTGAATACTCACCACCCTGATCTTTGCTGGCTCTTTGTTATCATTTGGATCTCAGCTTAAATTTCACTTCTTGCGCAGTGATTTTCCATGACAGCCTAATCTCATTTAGCCGCCCCGTCACTTCCTGTCCCGTCACTGTTTTCATTCTCTGCATTGCATTTATCACCATCAGGTATTTTTCTGTCAGAACCCAGACTTTGTGTTGTTCAAAGCTGGTGCTTGGTCCTTAGAACCGTGCCGAGCTAGAGAATGCTCAAGCGTATTTGTTCAGTGAATACTGAGTGGAGAGACTGGACGGCAGGCAGAAGGCGGAAGGGACTCGCTCCTTCCTGATGGCCCAGGGTTCCAGATTCCCACACCCGCTTCAGTGACTTTTCTGCCCTAGAGTCAGTCATGGGATTCCAGTAACAGTAGCATTTTCTTCGGAAAGCCTGCAGATGTGGTTCTATATCTTTTAGCTTCCAGGGAAGCACGTGTAATTACTCGTCCCTCTGGAAGCTTGGAGTTGAGAAATTTCACCAGGATAAAACTTGTTTTATTCCTCCTCCCTAACAGTGTGTGAGCCCTCTGAATTGGAAGACTCAAGTCTTTTTTTTTCTCTTTTTTTGGACAGAGAAATCTTTTGGAAGATGATTCAGATGAAGAAGAGGACTTTTTTCTGTAAGTTTTTTTGGTTTTTTTGTTTTTACAGCTTTATTGGCATGTAATTGACATTTAATAAAATGCATATAAAGTGGACAATATGAGTTTTGACATATATACCATAAAACCTGTGAAATCATCACCACAATCAAATACTGAACCTAGTATCGCCTCAGAAGTTCCCTTATACCCCTTGGCAGTCTGTCATTCTCCCAAATCCCCAGGCAGCATTGATTGGCTTTCTATCACTACAGTTTGTATTTTCTAGACTTTTTTTAAATAAATGGAACTATACATTACGCCTTTTTTTCTTAAACTGGCTTAATTCACCCTGCATAATTATTTTGAGACTCGTCCATGCTATTGCACATATCATTAGTTTGTTTCCTTTTATCTCCGAGTAGTATTCCATTGTATGAATGTACTGCAGTTCATTCATCCATTCACTTAAATGGATCGGTACTTGGAGCAGTTCTAGTTTCCAGGTAGTATAAATGAGGCTGCTAGAGACACTTCCATACAAGTTTTTGTGTGGACATGTGCTTTCATTGCTCTTAGATCAATACTTAGGAGTAGAAGGGCTGGTGTATGTTTACAGCTGTTTCCAAACTGGTGTCCCACTGTATGTTCCCCCCAGCATCCCATGAGAGCCCCAGGTGCCCCAGTTCCTCATCAGCCCTAGTATCTCAGTCTCTCATTTTAGCCATTCTTGTGGGTGTGGAGAGCTATCTCATTACGGTGTTCATTTACATTCCCCCAGTGACAAATTATGTTGAGCGCCTTTTTTTAGGCATATTTTCCATCCCCACATCTTCTTTGATGAATACATGTTAAAATGTTTTGCCCAATTTTAAATTTGTCTTCTTATGAAGTTGTAAGGGTTCTTTATTCAAGATACAAGTTCTGTGTCAGATAGATGTTTTACAGATATTTCCTCCCAGTTAGTATAACTTAATCTTTTCATTTTCACAAGAGTATCTTTTGAAAATCAAAGTTTTGATTTTGATGAAATCAGTTGATTAAATATTCCCTTTTATTGTGTTTGCTTATTTAAGTACTCTTTGCTAAATCCAAGGTCACTAAAATTTTCTCCTGTGTTTTCTTGTAAGAGTCTTACAGTTTTGGCTTTTACATTTAGGTCTATAATCTATTTTATTTTTATGTATCTTTGCGGTAAGGCTGAAGGATAATTGTGGAGGGGGCTGTCCAATTGTTCCACCACCATTTAATGAAAAGATTGTCTTTTCCCCATTGAATCACCTTGATACTTTGTCAAAATTAATTGACCTGATCAATCCTTTGCAGTTGTGATTAGAAAGGACTTTCACAGAGACCTAGGTTTGTATTTTCTTTTTTTGTGTGTGATAAAACACAATATGTATTAACAGCTCTTTATCTTTGAACATTTCTGTGACAAGAAGGTAGAAATAGATGACCTTAGCAAAACTAAAATCTTAAAAGTTGCCAATAGATGTTGAGAAATCATACCTGAGCATCCCCAATATATGATTATTACTGAAAAGTTTCACTTAAAACCTTATTTGAGTGACTTTTTTTTTAGTTCCCAACTCTGTGAGATCCCAAGGTCAATTATACAAGCTATTTTCTTGGAAAATTTTGTAGCAGAGCTAACAGGATTTTAGAAGTCAGCTTAATTAGAATGTGATCACACAGACTGAGGCCACCTCCCTTACAGTGAGTTCCACTGCGGGTGGTCCCTGCAGGACTTTGAATGGGACCAGCAGAGTGGGGGAGGGGGGGAGGAAAGAGATTGAGAAAGGGATGGGGGTGTGGGACATCTTCCCACTGGGTTTCTCCTGTGGGGGGCTCCCCTGGGGACGGGGATCCCGCTGGAGGCTCCTTTGAATGCGCCCCCTTTGGAGGAGGGAGACAAGAAACCTCAGCCGGAAGAGCTGGATCAACTTGGCATTTTTTTCTAACTGTCTGGGTTGCCCCTCGGAGCAGAAAAAAAAGCCTGAATTTAGGGAACTTTTGACCATCTGCCTGCTCGCCTGTAAAACACATCTAGCTGCATGATAATATTAGAGCTAATACTTCCCTCCAAAGGCCAGGTTTCCCTGTCTTCTAGTTTGTATTGAGGTTAAAACCTCAGAACCAAAGAAGACGAGGCACCGCTTTTTCAGAATCTGGGGGTTAAATAATTCAGGGGAGTGTAGGCGCGTGAGGGCTGATAACTCGCCTCCCGTGACTGATCTGGCGCATCCTGAGTGGGCCGAGGGGACCGCGTGACTCGGTTCCACGGCAGGGCGGGGGGCCATGGCGCACCAGGATTTAGTCACGTCTTCCCTGGGCAGCCGGCCCATGTCCCCGGGTGGGTGCCTGCCTAACTCCCTGTGTGCCCCCTCCTGGACTTCTGACGCTGGCCTGTGGGCCGGTAAAGGCAGGGGCCCGTAATGGGGCATCTGGCCTGACTCTGAGTGTCTTTGAAATTGGTGTTGCCGTCGATGTAGTGGTGGCACTCCGTATAAAGATGTTTAAGGAGAGAGTACATTTCTGAGGTCTGTAGGGAAGGCACACGGCGCACGTGAAAGGGCGTGGCAGGGCGCCGTGATGCCCACATGTAAGGGGGAACACAGAGATATGGGAAGCCTCAAAAGGCTTCAGATGAGGCTACTTTCTTAAGGCAAAGCGAGTCCAGAAAACGGGGTCTCTCCCCCAGGATCTTGCCTGATTGTTTGCAATACCACAGGTGTAAAAGGAAAGTGGCCAGATATTTGGTACCCTATGGGTGGAGCTCCTCATGGACGTGGGCCGCTAAGTAATTGCTGGGAAGTGAACAGCAGGTGGAAAGGGCACAAAAACAGCAGAGATGCAGAGACCAAGTTCCGTGTTCTTCCCTTAAGATGTCTTGAGGCTGGCATGGAGTGCTGAGGAGGTCTCACAGGGAAGGGGCCCTGGACCAGCGTCTCGGGTTGAGGAGAGAGAGTGTCAGGATGAAAAAAGCAGTAGGGATGGAGGAGACGTTCCACCGGCACCCCTACGGGCCCTCAGGCTGAGAAGGGACCAGTGTGGCCTTTGGGACTCTACCGCAGTGGCCGCGGCCGAGAGTCCCTCAGTTGCCTGCAAAGGCCCACAACCTAGCCACACACCAGTATCCAGCCTTCTCACGGAAAGGAAAATGCAGCGGAGTAGCAGAGAGGGGGTTAACTAGAGCCCTTCTGCTAAGCCTGTCCTTCGAGTCGTAAAGAATGGCAGCAGTGCTTGTTACTTTTTTTTTTTTTATAGCTGAGCCATCCAGCTCAGCGGCTGCTCAGCTCGGGCTGGACTCGAACCGAGTGCTTGTTACTTTTAACCGGCGGACGAAGGCCCATTGTTTGTGTGATAGGAGAAAGGGACAACAAAATACTGATGAAGGCCCACGAGTGGGCAAGGCAGACAGAAAAGCACAGGTCATGTTTACCTCTTTTTCATCCTGGGCGAGCCCCCATTAAATGATGTAGGGTATTTCTTGTGTCGGGATCGTAGTCTCGGGAAGCCCAAAAGTGGAGACACAGACCAGAGAGGTAGAGTTTACGTCAGAGGGTAGTTTTGTTAGAGCAGAAAGTAACAGCTCTCAAAACGAGAGGGGGTCCCGACTGGGGTGCCCCCTAGGTTTGTGTTTTCAATGTCAGGAAGAATGACTTCGTTGCAAGAGTTTTCTCTGGAGATTGATGTAGGTAGGGGGTTTGCCTAACAGAAAACATTTACCTCCGTCTTTGTTACAGTGTTGTAGTTTTTTGTAGAGACTTTTTTCCCCAAATAAAACTATTTTATAAAAAAATAATTGACAGCCATGAAGCAATGGACAAAAAGAGCCTACAGGATAGAAAACAAATCCAATAACAGGAAATAGTATTATTTTTCTCAGGAAGGTGGATGAGTTGAGATTTCCTCCAGGTGACAAGATTTACAGAGTCACAAAGCTAACTGCTCACAGGGCCAGTTACTTTGAGAAGCTTTAGTCTCCAGCAGCAGCTACCTGTCAGCAAGGACCTCGGTATTGAAAAGAAGGCCAGACGCTTTGGTTATGTAAATGATTACCTGAACGTAAGTTAGATGCCCTTGTGGGAAACACTAACTCTTCTGGCCAACACTGTGCCACTTGAGTCCACTTCCAAGCACTGGTGTGTGTCGCCCACAGGCCTGGCAACACAGCTGGCCACTTGTTCAAAATGCAACTTTCACACACGTTTTGTCTGTGTGTTGAAAGGGAGAGAAACTAAATAAAGTTCTTGAAATAATTTTTTAAAACTAATCAACACCCATGTTTATCGCAACAGTATTCACAATAGCCGAAAGTTGGCCGCGACCCAAGCGTCTGTCACAGATGACTGTGGGTAAACCAAGTGCGGGTATCCACACTATGGAGTTTTCCTCCGTCTTAAACAGGAAGGAGATTCTGACAGGTGCTACAACGTGGCTGAACCTTGAAAACATTATGTTAAGTGAAAGAGGTTGGACACAAAAGGATAAATTTTACACAATTCCACTTACATGAGGTATAGTCAAAGTCATAGAAACACAAAGTAGAACGGAGATTGCCGGGGGCTGAGAGGAGAGTGGGGAGTTAGTGTTTAATTGGTACAGAACCTATTTTCTTTGGAGTTTTGTGGTTTATACCTTATTTTCTATCATCAGAAGAATGGTAATTACTTAAAATATCCAAAATTTTTCATTTCTAGAATATTAAAATTGGTTAAAATGATATAGCACTCAGCTATAATAGAGAAGTAATAATTTGAGAAATGTCAGTATTTTCGTAGACTCTTGCCTTTAGCAATGTTGGTAAGTTTAAGATGAATCATCAAGAAACATACTTTAAGGGGCTGGCCAACTGGTGCGCTGGTTAGGAGTTGGCTTGGGACACCAGCTCTGAGCAGTAGGGCCCGGTTCGGATCCCACATGAGGGCCAGTGACGCTGCGCCCTCCACAGCTAAGATGGTGAACAACAGCTCAACCTGGAGCTGGGCTGCCTTGAGTCTCCAGCAACGGCGTGGGCTTCAGTGGTGCTGGCCGACAGCAGGTGTGAGCTGTTGTGAGCTGCCGTCCAATGGCCGGCAAGCAACTGCCTCACCCGGGAAGAGAGCAATGATAATACCAACATGGGCCAGTGAAGCGACATCCTCCACAATTAGACTGAAGAACAAAAGGACAGCAACTTGTCTGTTTCCCTCCCCCAATTCCCCAATAAAAAAAAAAAAATCTTAAAAACAAAAATAGTTTAAAAATATTAGTGTTTGGAATGGATTTTTCTCTGTATCCATCCCTGACAATCAGCATTTCATTATAGCCCAAATTCAAGGTGAATTGTACTTTTAGTGTTGTGTAATGATTATAAAGCTATTGTACTCACTGGCACCTTAGTTATTATGGTACTTCAAAGTTGAATCACATTGGAACCTGCGTATAACAGGACTACATAAACCCTAATGTCTCTGAAAGTTAGTAACATTCCAAAGGATTCGGTTAGTTTGGCCAGCACTAAGTACCAACGAAGTGCAGACATGATTACATATCATTCAGTTCCGGCAATACCAGTAAAATGTGACTCCTTATAAATGACTGATCCATGTTTACAATTCAGCTTGATTGTGTGTGTTTTCTGTTTTTTTGTTTGTTTGTTTTAATCCTCATTAATATGCACCCGGTATTTTGTTTTCAGAAGGGGACCATCTGGACCAAGATTTGGACCTAGAAATGATAAAATTAAGCAGTAAGTGTCCGAGATACTCATTTGTTTAAGTGATTATCATATCTCCTGTGGACCAGTGATGGGCATACTACAGTCTCTGAGCCAAGTCTGGTTGCAGCCTATTTTTGTCTATAAAGTTTTATTGGAACACAGCCACGCCTATTTGTTTTCTTATTATCTGTGGCTGCTTTCAAACTACGATGGCAGATTTGAGTAGTTGTGGCAGAGACCTGATAGCCCACAAATCCTATAGCTCACAAATCCTAAAATATTTATAATCTAACTGGTCCTTTATAGAAGAAATTTGATGAGCCCTGATTGCAGACAAAATATAACTGCTGGGTTTTAAAAACCCAGTAATTCTTTTTATTTTCACAAAGCTACCTCTGAATTATAGCTAAGGAAATACAATACTTGATTGTTGGTTTTTCTTAACTTTATTACCTTATGTCAAATCCATCTAGTTAGCATAATCTTGTCATGTTGTTGAAGTAATTACCCTAGGCTTATGATAATCTAGTAAGAATTTATCTGGAATTTGATGGGTTCTGTTCCAATTAATCTGCCTATAGTCATGCAGCCTTTTGTTTGTAGATTCTAGGACCATAACTATTTCTTCAGTTACTTAGTTTTTTAAGGACTAAATTTCCTGATTCATGTTTATTAACATAATATTTCATTTTGTTCACCTGTAATATCTACTCAAATTATTTGAGCAGAAGTGCAAAATAAAATATTTTTAAGGAAATTTTTTTTTCAACTACAGTTGTCTTACAATGTTATATCAGTTTCAGATGTACAACATAGTGATTAGACATTTATATGCATTACGAAGTGATCATAATACATCTAGAACCCATGTGACACCACATGTAGTCATTACAACATTACGGACTATCTTCTCTATTTTCTGCTTTACATCCCTGTGACTATACTGGGCAATTTGTACTTTGTAATTCCTTCACCTTTTTCACCCATTCTCTAACCCCCTCCCATCCTGCAACCTTCAACTTGTTCTCTGTCTCTATGCGTTTGTTTGTTTTGTTCACTTATTTTTTCGATTCCACATATAAGTGAAATCATATGGTATTTGCCTTTCTCTGTCTGACGTATTTTACTTAACATAGTACCCTCTAGGTCCATCCATGTTGTCACAAATGGCAAGATTTCATTTCTTTTTTATGGCCGAATGATATTCCGTTGCATGTATGTACCACATCCTCCTTATCCATTTGTCTGTCGATGGACACAGGTTGCTTCCAGATCTTGGCTATTGTAAATAATGTGGCAGTGAACATACATCTTTTCAAATTAAGTGTTTTGGATTTTTTTTAGATCAATACCCAGAAGTGGAATTGCTGGGTAATAGGGTAGTTCTGTTTTTAATTTTTGAGGAACCTCCATACTATTTCCCATAGTGGCTGCACCAGTTTACATTTCCACCAACAGTGCACCAGGGTTCCCTTTTCTCCATATCCTGGCCAACACTTGTTTGTTGATTTATTGATAATAGCCATTCTGACAAGTGTGAAATGATATTGAGGTTTTAATTTGCATTTCTCTGATGATCAGTGATGTTGAGCATCTTTTCATATGTCCGTTGGTCATCTGTATGTCCTTTTTGGAGAAATGTCTCTTCAGGCCCTCTACCCATTTTTAATTTGATTATTGGTTTTTTTGGTGTTAAGTTTTAGGAGTTGTTTATATATTTGGGATAATAACCTCTTATCAATGTATCACTGACGAATATCTTCTCCCACTCAGTAGGTTGTCTTTTCGTTTTGTTGATGGTTTCCTTCGCTGTGCAAAAACTTTTTAATTTGATGTATTCCCATTTATTTTTCTTTTGTTTCCCTTGCCCGAGGAGACATATCAAAATATATATATTACTAAAAGCAATGTCAAAGAGTTTACTATCTATGTTTTCTTCTAGGGGTTTTATAGTTTCAGGTTTTACATTTAAGTCTTTGATCAATTTCGAATTTATTCTTGTATATGGTATAAGAAAGTGGTTTAGTTTTTTGTGTGTGTGTGGTTTTTTTTTAGTGTCTGTCCAATTGTCCCAACACCATTTATTAAAGAGATTATCTCCATGGTATTCTTGCCTCATTTGTTATAGATTAAATGACCATACATATGTGGGTTTATTTCTGGGCTCTTTATTTTGTTCCCTTGATCTGTGTGTCTGTTTTTATGCCAGTACCATGCTGTTTTGATTACTATAGACTTGTAATATAGTTTACCTCCAATTTTGTTATTCTTTCTCAAGGTTGTTTTGGGTATTTGGGACCTTTTGTGGTTCCATATAAATTTTAGGATTATTTGTTCTAGTTCTATGAAAAATGCCATTGTTATTTTGATAGGGATTGCATTGAATCTGTAGATTGCTTTGGGTAGTATGGGTATTTTAACGATGTTAAATTTATGAGCATGGTATATCCTTCCATTTATTTGTATCTTCTTCAATTTCTTTTTTCAATGCCTTACAGTTTTCTAAGTACAAGTCTTTTACCTCCTTTGTTAAATTTATTCCTAGGTATTTTATTCTTTTTGATGTAATTGTAAATGGGATTGTTTTCTTACTTTCTCTTTGTGATACTTTGTTATTGGTATATAAAAAAGCAGCAGATTTCTGAATATTAATTTTATATCCTGCTACCTTACTGAACTCATTTGTTCTAATATTTTTTTGGTAGAATCTTTAATGGTCTCTCTGTATATTGTGATATCATATGCAAATAGTGAAAAGTTTACTTCTTCCTTTCCAATTTGGATGCTTTTTATTTCTTATTCTTGCCTGATTGCTGTGGCTAGGACTTCTAATACTATATTGAACAAAAGTGGTGAAAGTGGACATCCTTGTCTAGTGCTTGATCTTAAAGAAAACGCTTTCACCTTTTCACCATTGCTTATGATGTTAGCTGTGGGTTTGTCACATATGGCCTTTACTACCTTGAGGTATGTTCCGTCTATCCCCACTGTGCTGAGCTATTTTCAGTCATGTCTAATGAAGTTTCAAAAGTTATAAAATTCTCAAAAGAACAATAAATAATTTTTTAATCTTTATTTTAAACTAGTGTTCAGAATCAGGTGGATGAAGTTATTGATGTCATGCAAGAAAATATTACAAAGGTAATTGAAAGAGGAGAGAGACTAGATGAACTACAGGACAAATCAGGTACAGACATCTCATAAATTTCATGACATTACAAATCTATGTTTTGATAGTTTACTTCTCCCACTTTTCTAGCCAAAGTTTAGGCATGTTGACTTAGGAAATGGTATTTGGTTTTTAACTTAACGATTTTAATGTTTTAACTTGAGCTTCCTTTACTTTGAATCTTATTGTTGTATTATTTAATTGATGAGTTGAGAATGGAAAATTTAAAAATTCATTGTTGAAGAGTTAGAGTTTTTTTTTCTTTTGTCTCACGTTGATGTGCTTTGTATTTCTCATAATCTCAAGGAGGAGAAATCCAATTACTTCTTTTCAACACTTATTTCAAAGTTATCTGTTATTTTTATCTTATGTTTTCTCTGGTAATTTAGTAACCTTTCTTTACTGACAGATGTTAGTCTCTGTACAGTTCCTGGCACACACTAGACACTCAAATATTGTTTAAATGATGAATGGCTGAATATCTGATAATTCCTTGACAGACTTGTTTAACCAAGGAAACTTATTTAACTACTGTACTTTTAAAATTCCTATTGTTTCACTTTTGTTGTTTTCTAAGAATCTAACCTTCACCACATGTGATTTTTTTTTTTCTGTAGATGTGCCAAGTACTTGAGTTTTTAAAGAGTATTTTGTTACCAGAATTTATATGAAAGATTTGAGGCCCTGGGAAGACTTCTCTTATTAATCTTATTGTCAAAATGGATTGAGCAAATTGACCTGCAGCCATTTTTTGCCCCCCGCCCCTTTTTTTTTAATACAGAATGCAAGAGTTTGTGGGCGGAGGAAAGGGAGGATGTTGTTTTCATGTTAAAAGGGAATAAATTTGCAGAAGTAGAAATTAATATATTCTTTGTGCAACTAGATAAAAGAATCCTGTTATATCATTTAATCCTTCTCTCCCCTCTCTATGTGATATAGAAAGCTTATCGGATAATGCAACTGCTTTTAGCAACAGATCCAAACAACTTCGAAGGCAGATGTGGTGGCGTGGATGCAAAGTAAGTACATCAGAAGATATTGGATAGGTTGATGTGCACCTTCAAAGATGGAAATTAAAAAGGGCCTCTAGATTATAACCTCTGTGAGGACAGACACTGTGACTGCCTTGCTTTTTATTATATCTTCTGAACCTGGGCCAGGGTAGCAACTCAGTAAATATTTGTTGAATGAATTAATAGCTCTTGAGACAGAAATAACTGAAGGAATCAAGCAATACCTAAAGGATGTTTTCATGAATTTCTTCATAGAAAGAGAGCTACGTTTTGTTAGTAATTCAGCTATCTCTAAACTTATAAGAAATATTAATTTCTTATAATTTGTTATGAGTACTTTTGGAACAGTCTAGGGCATTACATAGAGATGTTAAAAAAATAAATGGAATCTAGAGAAAAATTTCGTTTGTTTGTTTTGTTTTGAAAGGGGGAAAGAAAGCAGTTTATATGTCAGAATTCATTATGGCAAATGTGGCTAAGGAAAAAAATTCTACTATCCCTCGTTATTCCAGAGAAATAAGAAATAAGAGAAATTTTTAATGAGGAAAATTATGAGAATTGTTATATACTAATATATTCCTGCAAAACATTTTATAGAAATGAAATCTTAAATCAAGTATGGCTACTAATCATTAAACAAAAAAATGTTTCTTTTAAGATTTTATAGCAAATTTCATGGCATTTGAGCAAATCTTTTCTTTTTCTTCCTGATTCTGTGTATCATTTTTGGCCTTCTTTAAAATCTCAGACATAAACTCATTATTTTTAATCTCTCATTTTCAAGTTTAGCAATTATAGTTTCTAAATTTGACTTTGACATGTACTAATTATTTCTTCTGAGATTTGCCTCGGATTTACTTATTTTTGTCTGTCTTACTTGTTGAAACCTCTTACTTTCAGAAATAGAACTTAGGAAAGAAATATGCCTTATTGCTCCCCTTGTCTAGAATTTAAATTTTTTATTTTAAATTTTTTATTCTTTAAGTTATAAATCTTAACTTTTATTTAAATTTTCTATTTCTGTAGAAGTTTTCTATTTCATAGACTAATTGGGAAGAACAAAAGGTCCATGAAACATTCACCTCCTCTCCCCACAAATGACACATCCATGTAGCCACAAAAAGATGATCGTCACGTGCATTTTGCCGAGCTTTCATTAGCCATTTCTGAAGATTTTCTTTGTACGTTATGGGGTTCAGATCAGAAGAATAGTTTGCTTTTAAGAGGGAAATTGAATTAGTTTTAAACTTACATTTTTATGTAGTCTCTATGTCACTGCTGTTTTCTGGATTGACTTCGTAATGATGATTTAGGAAAGCCTAACAGAAGGGACGTAGGCTCGACAGAAAACAGATCAGAGGTTGCCAGCAGGTAAGAGTAGAAGGGTGAGACTGGCCACAACAGGGTGTGAAGGAACTTTTTGGAGTGCTGGAAATGTATTATATTTGACTGTGATGATGGTGGTTGACAACTACCGGGGGTGCCAGAAAAAATGTATACACATGACTTTTATTCATCTTGTTATCAGTATATATTATTACAATTTTAATGCAGTTTTTTCCTTTCTTAAAATGTGTATACATTTTTTTGCACCCTCTGTATAGATCTGTCAAAATCCATCAAAATGAACTTTAAAATGCGTGAATTTTATTCTGTGTAAAGTATATCTCAATAAATCTGACACAATTTTCCAGCAGGGGGTGAGAATCACTAGCTCCCCTCTTAAGTTTCTAGGAGACTCCGAGGCTTTTATATGTTTAAAGATAAACAGAAGGGCCGGCCGAGTGGCTCAGCTGGTTAAGAGCTCACTCAAGAGTGCAAGCTCTGAGCAACAGGGTCACCGGTTGGATTCCGGCCCCGAGCTGAGCTGCCACTGAGCTTCCAATAGGTGGCAGGATGGCTCAGCTAAAAAAAAAAAGAGAGAGAGAAACAGATTTTTGTCCATGTCATTTAGAAGCAGAGCACTTTGTTCATGCATAATACATTACTGCAATTTTCAGTTGTAAACATTTCCTGGCCTGCGTTAGAAACCCAAGGCAGAAAGCTACTTATTCAGGTGTTTTAAAATTGATATTAATATTTCCATATAAATCTAAGCCATTGATATTTCCATTTAAATCTTCTAAGTCTAGTGCAAATTAGCAAGGCAAATTGATGTATACAATATGTTTTGGGTCAAGTTGAAAACTACTGTAAAATTCAAAATTACTTTCTAAATTACTTTCAGGTTAAAAAAAACAAAGCTTTCCTATATTGTCTGAATCACTTTGTCATCCCTAAAATACTTTAGTTTATAGACTAATGTGGCCCCAGACAGCTACTGAAAATGGACTTCTGTATCCATCTGGTCTGACTCTGTATTTTTTGTTTATCATAATTAATAATTTTAATAGGTACCTGGTGTCCAAATTGCAAATCTTCCCTGTATTCCCTTGGTCACTTTGTTCTTGTCATAAAGGTAATGCCACTAAAATGTCCCCAGAAGTTCTATTGTAGAAACATTTCCTTGGCTACTTCTGGCTGCTATTTGTGATACAGACTGTTTCGTGTGTTTTTTAATAACTCGGTATCTTTTTTGCTGAATCAACCATCTTTAATCAATTATCTATAAAAATGTTTGATAAAAATAAGACTTTCCATTTGAATTCACCAGAAAAATCAAATCAATTTATAATTTATGCATTTTAGGATGAGTGTGACAATATTTTAAAGAGAAATGATGTGAGCTTAAAACATTAAGCAGCTGAAGGTTTCTCCTCTCAGCTGTGAAACTGACACTCAGATGCTCTTAAGGGAGTTTTTTATTGCCTAAGGTTATTCATGAAGAATCTAAATTCTCTTCCCCAAAATGGGGATAGAAATGCCAAGAAGAAAGTAAGGGGAGCAGAAACTAACAGAGTTCTCATATACTTTTGAGAATAAGTGCTATGAAAAACGCTGCCTTATACTGTGTATATTAAATCATTTGTATTGGATGCCTGTGTTATTCATCATATCCTGACGCTTTTTAACAGAGTTGGTAAAATATCATTTTCCTGCTCTCGTATTAGAAATAAATGTGAGAAATCATAGACAAGAGTCCAGGCCCATGACAGCTTTGATTGGTACTGTTAACTGTGCAGTACAGCCGTGAACAATAAAATCCAGGCAAGCAAAAACCCTCAAATTTGGGGAACTCTGATTATTAACAAAAAGATACAAACAGCCAGCAAGTTCGTAATGAGAAAACATTAGAAAACCTTTCCAGGGATGAACCTGTCCATTGGTGAGGAAGCATACTATGGTAAAGAGCACAGTGCGTAGTCACTGGATCAAGTCAAGACTAATGTCGCTTTCTTGTGCCTTTTTGTGTGTTGTAGATAAAAGCCATCATGGCTTTGGTTGCTGCTCTCCTTTTGTTGGTGATTATCAGTAAGTATTTACTGGATTATCAATTTGGGGGAATATCATTTGTTTTGGAGTTCCTTTTAATTCATTTTTAGTTCACCTAGTATGACTGTCAGGATTGAGTAATGATTTTTGATCCAAGTCAATAGCTGTTAACCTAGAATCTGTGGATCTCTGAAAATGCTGTTAAATTGTATGTAAACGCAGAGCTAAGCGATTTGTTTGAGGCCAAATATGGCTGTTACTGCACCCAGGACCATAAACCTCATTTTCTATTTGTTATTAATGGTCAGCTTTTGCAGCTGCATTTCATAATGTTGGACAAATGTCGATAAAAAATGTCATCTGGGGAGAATTTTTGTTTTGTTTTTGTTCTGGGATTGAGGTTGATTCCGGTCAGGAAATCATCCTTAGTGTTCTTTTTAAAAGTCAGATCATTTTAATGCCTCCTTTTCTCCTCTTTACCTATGTCTATGGAGGTTTGGAAAGTGTCACTAAACAACCGTTTGGAAATTTCCATGGTGATATTGTCTTTTTAAACAGAAAAGAGTTCTGTTACAGAGAAGTGGAGTTGATCCTCATCCATGTTTGCAGATACTGGGTTTGTGAATTCACCTGCTAGTTCATACTGATTTGCAGCCCAAAGGCAGCACCTGAGGTGCTTTGCAGTCCCTGATGAGCGCGTTTCCGGCTGATGTCTGATGAAGCCGTGCTCTGCCTTTTATAATAGTTTCCACTCTCATGGAGTAAACACGTGTCCTTCAAAGTCTGTTCAGTGCCCTGTTTCTCACATTTTCGTGCATTTTGTTGTGATTTCCCTCTTTAAAACGGCCCCCAAGTGCAGTGCTGAAGCACCGTCTAAGTGTTGTTGGCTACCAGAAGGTTGTGATGTGCCTTAAGGAGAAAATAGGTGTTAGGTGGGCTGCATTCAGGCATTATGGTGCTGTTGGCAATGGTGTTCATGCTAATGAATCAATAGTGTGTGTTAGATCAGTGCCTGTAAACAGAATCGCACTTAAAACAAGGTGATGTTCTGACTAGTTGAGAAAATGTACCCAGAGGCTCATGGGAATTTAACCCTGTGTTTCCCCTGGGAGCAGTGGTTTAGTGTTTATGGTTTAGTAAACACTAATTTGGTGTTTGTGGTGACTTGATAGAACATAACTACTGCAAATACCAAGAATCAACCATGGTGGTGGTAAACACAAAAATTTTCATGACTGAAAGTCTTTCAAAAAGAAAGGGTTTGTTGAGCCAAATGCCAGTCACAAAAGGACCAGGTCCTGGGGCATGCAATCTAATCTAAGGTAATAGATTCTCACGTGTGTGTTCATGAGACGCTACACCCAGCCATGGAAGAAAAGCTCTCCCAATAGAGTGGGTTTGGTATCCTCTTTTCAAAGTAGATTTCCAGCAATTGTGAGGGACTGGGAAATTCTGATTAAGGAGTTATCCTTCTATGCCTGAGTAAGGGTAACCGTCGCAATGAATATATAGATATAGATCCTTATCATCCTTCTAATGACAATACTGACTTAAAACAGGCAATCTAAAACACGAGGGAGCTGACTGGCATAGCATGGCCAGAATTACCAGTGCTCCTAAGAACAAGGTTTCCACAGCAACTATCAGTATGAGGATTATACAGTCAAGTTCAGTACTTGAGGTTTATACAGGCCTGGTCTAGATCTTGGGCGGAAGCAGTCTACTTGGAGATGTCAGCGGCTTCTCTTCCTGGTCAGACAGAGACTGAGGTCAGAGATGGGGGTGCCAGACCATCCAGGTGGATTAGCTCTTCTGAGTGGGCAGCCTGGGCCCAGGAGTCAGCTCCCCCACGCTTGGCTGCAGAGGTTTCTCAAGAACCAGCGGGGCTGTAAAGAACTCCTAGAGATGTCTTTTCTGGGAATTTCTCTGAAGCTAAAACATACACGCAAAAAGCGTCAGAGTAAAACAACAACCCCCTGTAAATAACACAGACTAAAAATGACCTGGTTCAAGATCTGATTACAGCACAGTCGACAAATTTGTTTTTCTCTGCAACACACACCATTTTAAGATAACAACTAGAATTAGAAATGAAAGCATATCAGGACATTGTAGATTCTTAGACATTTTATATAATTCTGAGAACATTCACATTAATAACAATATGTGCATACAGACACAGTTTTTTTTTTGACAGTGCTTTCCATGTAATTTTAGCATATCAATAGGCTTAATTCGTTTCATTTCCCCCTTTTATAAAGAGAGAACTTTTCTTTGAAATGTTTCAGAGATCCTCCTGAGAAATCTCAGTTAATTTTCAGATTTAAATTTTTGGGACGTTTGTCAAACATATCAAAAGTTTTAAAACACTTTGTCCCCTAGGGTCACAGGTCACTGGGAAACTACTCATTTATTTCATCATGGTGACAACTGAAGGCTTTGCAGGCAAATACAGAAAGTTAAATAGTTGGAAGCAAAATTTAGCTTTTAGTATTAAGACTTGGTTTACTTTAGCAAGGACTTGGTGTTACAGAGCACAGGAAATCTTAATAAAACATAAAACCCTTGCTTTTTAAAAATAATTTCTTACTAAGAGTATACTAGGAGTACAGGAAAACTGTCCTTTTAACAGAAAAACAAATTCTGCTATTGTATCAGCTCACTTTTGATATTTTCAATTTACTTAAATTTATTTTAGCCTTATTTAGCTTGACCCTACAAAGTTTCTCAAGATTCTTTTTCCACAAACCTCCAAATTACCTTGTGCTATTTAGTTTCTCTTCTTATTAATTTAGAAATAACTAGCTTATTAGGACAAACCATTTTTAACAATTTTTTTCAAAAATGCATTCCATACCTTATACCTTCTTTTACTGAAAACATATCATTTTTCATATTCATTAGAATCCTTAATCCTTAGAAATCTTGTAATGACAACTAAAAAGTAAGCATTTGGCCTCTTATGGCTTACCCAAGTTGCAGAGTGCAAAGCGGGGTGCTCTTGTCCAGCTGCACACAGCTGCCGGGGTACCCCAGCCTGCCAGATGCCCACTTCCAGGTGCACCTACAGGATGGCAGAGATCAAAAAGCCAACTCTCCCGATGTGAGAAAAGCTGTTTGTTTGTTTAATTACGTGCATACTGATACATTTAGCTACACCTTGAGTCTCTTGGAGCCAGACTAATACCTAAGGGGGATGTGCCTTGGGGTTGGGGATTTTACAGTGTTCCTTGATGCACGGAAATTTTTATTGAGGTTGGCAGGTGACCTGATGTCAACCTAAGCTGTTTCGTGACCAACTTATCCTATCACGAGAGCCTTCTCTTTTCAAGGTGGCAAGTGTCCTAATGACTGTAAATGCTTGACCCATGCCCACCAATTTGCAGCTTTGGCGTCCAGGATTCCCTCAGCAATAGCTTTTACCTCGTGTGGATGTAACCCACAGTGACGTTAGTTAAATAGACGCTGGTCCTGTGAGGTCCACACGCTCATCAGTGTGTGGAAGCCAGCCCAGACAAGAGGAATATAGGATTTAACTATGCCTGTGTCCCCCTATGAAATCTCTATGACAACAACACAGCAGAGACAAGGAAAGGAGACAACATGTCTGCAACAAAATGAGTACACCAGGGAAGTCTCTGCAAGCTGCTCGCCGCCCCCCACCCCAGGGCCTTTATGAAGAGCCCCTCCAGAGCAAAAGATGGTTTCTCGTGCGGTAGCAAGTTGTGAGTTGCTCCCCCCAGGAAACCTTCCACAGGAAAAGATGGTCTCCTGAGGGGGAAAAAAAAAGCCTCATTTAGTAGCAAACCCCTGGGCGACCCACCACATGTCAGCACCAGGAAAAGTGGCTCAAAATTGAGGAGGCTGAAACCTTCTGACCAGACTTTGAAACCTCAGCTCCCACTTTTGCCAAATTTTTTATTTTAGAGTTATTCAATTCTTTGGAATATAGTGTCCGGTTTCAAGCAGGAGAAACAGTAAGGAATCTTAAAACCCCTGCTCAGATGGCCAAAGCTGCTTTTAGGATCCTTTAAGAGCTGGTTCTAAAGTCAATTTGTCTTTTAGAAGTTCCTGCATGTCAGTCAAATAATGCATTCTGATGTTCCTGAGAGGTTCGCAATTCCCTCGTTAAGGGAGGGCCCTTGAAAGTTTTTAACAGCCATTAGTTTTAAATGATTTTGGCTAAGTTTCATTTTATTAAAAAGGTACAGAGGATACTTACCTGGCAGGGGAGATACCATGATCACAAAGGTGGTTTTCTCAGGGCGAGGCTTATCCATTGCTCTCCGGATGTGCTGACCCCTGCGATTTCCCCAAATGTGGGAAACTTGACTGCATAATTTGTGGTAGTGGGGGACTGCGTTCGCGCTGTCCCCGGGGGAGGGGGGGCGCACAGAGGAGGAACCATTTGTTTGTACATATAATTAGCTAGGGTTCCAATTAACAAACTCATTTTAATAGCTTAGCATGTTTAATCTCTAATTTAGATTATAAAAAGACTTCATGCCAGATCACAAGTGCCCCCTATTCAGGGAATTGCAAAGACTTGTCAGCTTCAGTAGCCGACCCTTTAGATAAAAACATTCACAATTCCGCCCATATTTCTTACACATATAGGACCAGCCAGGCTTCCTGAAGAGGGGCCAGGGAAGTTTTTAGAGTTTCGACTTCCCATAATTTAGAAGTTTTGTTTTTGATCAACCGAGGCCAGGAAACTGTTTGGGGTCTGAAATGTGTCACTTCTGAGGGCTGCTTCCTGACGGGTCGGTCGCTGCTGTCTCATGGGTCTCGGAGGGGCGTGAGCAACACATGATTTTCAGGGGGGCTCGAAGTTCGGGGTGACCAAACACTTCCGTGTACCTCCCAGACAAGCCGCAAATGTCCCTTCTAACCCTGAAACTGGGGGGTGTGCTTTTCTGTTGGGGACCCTGGGAGGCAGCTACATGTCTTGGATAACAAGTCCAGACACTTCGGCAAAGGTTTCTGTTCACCTGGAAACACCCCTGAAGGGACCAGAGGAGCAGTGGTTTCTTTAGAGTGGAAATCACCCTTGTGTAATTTCAGAGCTAAGGTAATAGCGTTGCTCAACCAAGAGTGAAAACCCAAGCTGTAATTGCATCCAATGGTCACAAGATGTCACTGTGAGCTCACATATCTCAAAAAAAAAAAACAAAAAACAACTGTCAAAAACCAAGACAGGTACTGGCGAATAATAGAAAAATAATAATAAAGTCGACTTAGGAGTGCCTCCTCAGTGACTCACCAGTCAGACAAGGGAACCCCTCCCGGCACCAATACCACGTGTCCCATCACTGACCTTCAGAACACTTGCAGGACACCCCCCTCCCGTGGCACAAATGCCACACGTCCCAGATGGCCTCTTATGGGTTTTTTTGTTGAGGGGTTACTCTTGCTGGGCCAATCAAGGTGTTGGGTGCACAATCCACGGCTGTGGAGGACCCGAGAGGAGGCGCTCGCCATGGCCCACCGAGCCACGATGGGGCTGCTCTGGGTGCCACACTCATCCTGAGGGATCTTGCCCTTTTCTGCCCCTTCGAAGATACAGTACCACTCCTGACAAGAGATGTTAAATGAAAACACTTACACGGCCAAAAGCTTTTCATAAAGAAAGGGTTTATTGAATCAAATGCTAGCCAGAAAAGGACCAGGGCCTGGGGCCTGCAATCTAAACCACCAGCCGTTGTTAACTGATTACCCTCTCCTGTCTGTCCCTTCCACCCGCCAGTCTGATGTGATTTGATTTAGGACCTCTTAGAATTTTCTCCTTGTCAGTGGACAATTTGGAAAATGTGAAATAGCATAAAGAAGAAAATAAAATTCAACTGTAATCTTTCCACAGAGATAGCTACTGTTAATACAATTATTGTATATACTTAAGTCTTTTCCTATTAGTATATAAACATGGTTTTCAAAAACTAAGGTTATATGCATACTTTCTTAACATATTGTAAATATTTTCCCAAGTTATTACATATTTTTTAAATATTTTAGCAGCTGTATGCTAAGGTTATGCCATAATCTGTTTGATCAAAATGCCAATGTTAGCGATGTGGGTTGTTTTGTGATATTTTTGCTTCTCCGTTCCCATTTGTTAGGTCTCACCTCAGCCAGTTCAGTCCTCATTACCTATGTCCACAAGCGGACACAGCTACATTTAGGAATATTGCTTCTAACATGACATCACGAATCTCATTTTGACATGTTCCTTTTTCATTTCTTTCTCTTGCAGTTCTTATAGTTGTGAAATACCGCACTTGATTTGAGGACAGACATCTTCATTAAACAAAATCTGGGACAATGATAATAATAAAAGATTGCTGCATAACTTAAATGAAACCCATGTATATAACTTTCAAAACTTCCTTTTTCAAGAAACAACGAGGCAAATCTCACTTCAAACTGGAGCATCGAGACTGTCCATTGTTTTCTTCCCTTCTAGCGAAATGTGCTTTTAATAATTATGTTTACGGCGAAGACAACCAGCCTCTGTTTTGCCATATTCCAAGGGTCGAATTTGAAACTAGATAGTTGCCAGCTCATGATTTGTGTCTGTACTTAAACAGTGGTAGCGATACTTCATCCTGTTGCTTTAACGGCATAAGGACTTGCGTTCTTACAGTAAAGGTGGGTGTCAGGACGCCTGTGGGGACAATCAGATCATTTCACTAAGAGAGATGCTTAACCGTTCCATCAATAGTTGCAAGATTCTTCTCTGTTACAGTTGCTGTGCAGGCAATTTCCACATGTTTATGGGTGTGACAGAAGCCGTGTTGTAAATGTCGCTGCCTTCAGTTAGAACTAAAAACATTCCAGGAAATCTATTTTTGATTGTATAAGGGAATGTGTAGTAATCTTTTGGCATTTGAATTATGGAAATGGGAACTTTAAACACTGTGAAAAGCATGGTATGTCACCATGAAACGAGATAATAAAACGATTGGAGAACGTTGCTGGAGTTTTTGAAAGTGACCAACATGGAGCCACACGTCCCAGTCCAGTCTCTTTCCCATTAGCCTCCAGTAAGGGACCAGTCCTAATGGGAGTACAAAAAATCCACAGGTAACTCGCTCCCTAATTTTATCCTCGCTAATGTTATCGCTTTCCTCTTCAACTAATCCTTATACCAGAAGCACTGAAAGTGGCAACATCATCTGCTTAGAGTTTGCTGCTGTTTTGCGTTCCCTGATCCTCCCCCTGGGAGATGCATGCTTACCATCAAGTGTCAGATTAGCCCACAGAGACAAGGAGAAGCCAGGTTCCTGGTAGTCATCAGCCACTAACCAAGTGCTTGAGTCACCATTAGCCTGGTCTGTGTTCACAACAATAAAACGCCTCGTTAACTTTAAAATGTGCCAACCTCCTTGGGTTGTTTAAAAAGTCAGTAAAAACACACAGTCTTCTCATGTGTTGGAAGCTTTTATAGTGAAATTGGAGGTTCTGTGGCAACGTGTGCATGTGGATATCTTGACATATAAAGATAACTCTAAATTTGAAATGGGGTTAATAGAAAAAAACAGTATTTAAATGGGGGTGGGGGGAGGGGGTCTTGGATAGCTTTTATTTCTTTGGTCATTTTAATTCAAAATGTACGAAACATCGAGTTTTCTTTTTAATTCTACAGGATGAGCACTAAGAGGCAAAAATGTTCTGGTTAGAATGGAAAGAAATGTGAAGGGAGGACGCAGACTCAGATATTCGAGACACCTGAACGTTATGCAAATCTCAATATTTTTGCTCAGTTTTATAGTTTACTGAGAACATTTTAAAAGAGTTAAAGGTCTTATATATTGTGCAGTGTTGTGTCTGGTCTCCCCACTCTGTAAATATCAGTGAATGTAAGTAATGTAATAAATACTAAATCTTTTGACAAAATAGCATACCCAGGAAAAGGAGTATTTTTAGAATTGCAGTAGCTAATATAACTCATGAATGGAAATGTTTTAACTGGATGGACAGATTCAGTCCTAACATGTATGTTATGTCCTTTTTTGAGGGATTGGAACCCGAGTCATCAGTGGCTCGTTTTTTATTAGTGGGTGTGGAAACCTGGTCTCTGCATGATGCCTGTCAGTGAAGATGAAGATTATTTCTCAAAAAGAATCCACATTTACAGAGTTTCTTTTACTAAACTATACTACTTTTAAAGAAATATAAAAAATTAAATTATAAAATTATTTTTAAAAATGTTCACCGTAAGAAATAAAGGAAATATTTATATGACAATATTGTATATATGTAGCTCTCTTTGTATTTAAATACACTGCTGCCGAGAATGCTGGTGGTGGACGTGTCACTCTGTTAGAGCTTTGTACTCGTGGCAGTTTGGTTTATCATTTCATCTTTCTTGGTCTTGGTTAATCCTGAGGCCCTTAACATGGCTGGCACGTTTTTGACTGTTGTAACTTTGGAGATATGAACCTTCTTAAAATCAAAAACAGAAGAAAAATATGCCGTTCACATTGATGCCAGGCCTCCCTTAATGATTTTTTCTTATTCAGCTCAGATCATCATCCCATACTTGAAAAAGGAAGTTTTACCACCATCAAAACTATCATCCTTTAACAACAAAGATCAACAGAAAAATTCAAGTAACTGTGTAAATACTAGTTGATCCCCAGTGAAACCAGGTCATTATTTTTATAATGCCCAAAACATACCCTCCCTCATGATTTATGTTTAATTGCTGAAGCCTCTCTCTCTGCAGCATTTTCTGATTAATATAACACTGATTAATTAGCTCTCCCCACTGACTGTAACTCTAGAATACCTGGGGTCTTTTGCCTCCTCTACCATGACGAAGCTCGCTGAAAATTGCCCTCCGATTTCATAAACTTGGGGCATTCTAGATGAAAGGAAAGCTCAGTGTTGAGAATAGAGCATTCCGTAAAGCGGAGGGAGGGTGATGTGTGCCCATCAGGTCCAGAAATGCCTGGCGTTGGCGCTCCTGTGGCCGCTGCGTGTCCCAGCCTTCCTGTGCCATCACTGCATTAGGGAGTTACAAGTCCAGCGTTTTTACAGCACAGTCAGGTATCTTTCAGTTCTGTGCAGCATGTGGACATCCTGAAAGTGATCGTACAGAGACGGGAGGCAAGCATGAAAAAACGAAAATGTCTTATTGTTGGTAAACTTAAACATGCTTGCTGCCCTGTCAGCACTATCTCCATCTCTCTGTAGAGACACTATGATTAGAAAGTATGCAAGAAATGGCTGAGAATGACTGCTGTTAGAAGCAGCCCTTAATTGCACAGAATCTGAGTTTTGCTAAGTCAAGGCTAACTGTTCTGTTAGTCTGATTTTCTGTTTTCACGCGGATATGTGATCAGAGTCCACTTTATTTTCCTGTGAGTGGGGGGAGTAAGAGCACAGCTCAATCTGAAAGCATTTCTACATTTGTTTCAGAAGGCGATTGCAGTGCTTATATTTGTGTAGGAAATTCCACAAAGCCATGTGAAGTCACTGAGGCATGGAGCTGAAAGGTGCCCGACTTCTCAAACAATCTACTGGCTTTGCCACGTAGACAAACGGAATCACTCCTTAGGCCAACATAGGGCTTGGGCATTGTTTTTGTTTTGTTTTTCCTGAAAAGCAAGTCAGAGATTGGGGACCCAAACGTTTATTCTGGCTCCTGTTTTGTTTCTAAGAAGCTACTTGGAACAAGTCAGTAGGAATTGAAAACAAAAGCGTGACCAACCCAATTAAAGAGACTAAACATAAACTTATGAGAACACGGTCATGGCATATGTCTGCATCCCCACAGCAGCCTGCCCAGTGCTGTGTGCCTGGCAGCTGCTACATGTGAATATACCTCAGAAGTCACAGGCACAGTATGACCCTGTCTAAGTGACAGTGACTGCCAGCCCTCGCCGCAGAGATTACATGACTGACATATAGTGTGGGTCTTGGCCTCTACCAAGAAGTAGTAGTGCTCTTTTATAAAAGAATTGGGCATAGAAAAATTTCTGATTTTACAGTATTTTATTTGAAGAGGTCTTGAAATCAGATCTAGTAAATATTTTAAGGCTACCGAGTAAATTGCATAAGTCAAAGATCATGGTCAGTGAACTGTCTGAAATCAAACTAGAAGTCAAGGCCTTGATTTTATGCCTTGGGTATGTGTCATTGTTTTAAATTCTACACGCCTTTATTTAACCCTTTTGACAAGTGCCTTTGATGTTAAATTAGCACCTAATTTTTTTTGTCCTCTCATCCAAATGTAAGTTTAATAAGAAGAGAGCTTTTTGTCTCTTTCATTCTGATATGTCCCAAACCACTCACTACAACAGTTAGTATCGTATTGCCTGCTCAAATAATTGAATGAACGAGTCAGTTACCCTGCAGATGCAAAAGAAGACCATAATTTTGAAAATGATGTACTACAAGAACTAAATGAATTTTTAGAGTACCTCACCATTCCCAGTAGGATGCAAGACATGGCCTCCAAAATTCAGAAAGTCATAGTGAGAGAAAGGTGAAGTAAACAAAGGAGTCATGAAGACAGTAAGATCAGATACATGCAAAAGAGTGAAACTGGACCCCTATCTTACACCATATACAAGAATAAACTCAAAATGGATTAAAGACTTAAATGTAAGACCTGAAACCATAAAACTCCCAGAACATAGGCAATAAATTCTCTGATATTGCTCTTAGCAAAAAAAATTTTGGGCTATGTTTCCCCAGGGGAAACATAGGGGACCAAAAGAAAAACAAATGGGACTACATCTAGTGAATACGTTTTTGCACAGCGAAGGAAACCATCAACAAAATAAAAGGACAACTTACTGAATGCCAGAAGACATTCACCTGGTAAGGGCTTAATATTCAAAACACATAAGGAACTCATACAACTTAACACCAAAAAAAAAAATCCAATTAAAAAATGGGCAGAGGACCTGAATAGACATTTCTCCAAAGAGGACATACAGATGGCCAATAGACATGAAAAGACAATGTCACTAATCATCAGGGAAATGCACATTAAAACCACAATGAGATACCACCTCACACCTGTCAAAATGTCTATCATCAATAAATCAACGAACAAGTGTTGGTGAGAATGTGGAGAGAAGGGACCCCTTGTGCACTGTTGGTGGGATTGCAAATTGGTGCAGCCTCTATGGGAAACAGTATGGAGGTTCCTCAAAAAAAAACTAAAAATAGAAGTACCTTATGACCCAGCAATTCCACTTCTGAGTCTTTATTGAAAGAAAACCCAAAACACGAATTTGAAAAGATACATGCACCCCTATGTTCACTGTCACATTATTTACAACAGCCAAGATACGGAAGCAACCTAAGCATCCACAGACAACTGAATACATATGCGTATATATGATGGATTATTACTCAGCCATAAAAAGAATGAAATCTTGCCATTTGCGACAACGTGGATGGACCCTAAAGAGCACTGTTAGGTGAAATAAGTCAGAGGAAGACAAATACACTATGATTTCACTTTTATGTTAAATCTAATAAACGAGCAAGCACAATGAACCAGAAACAAACTCACAGAGACAGAACGAACTGGTGATGCTAGAAGGGAGGGGAGCAGCAGACTGGGTGGAAAAGGAGGGGTTTAAGAAGTACAAATTTCCAATTAGGAAATAAATCACGGGGATGTAATGTACAGCACAGGGAACAGAATCAGTCATACAGCAGTAACTATGTACAGATGGGTACTAGACTGGTGATCACTTTGTAAGGTAAACAAATATTGAATCACTGTGTTGTACATCTGAAACTAATATAACATTATATGTCAACTCAATTTAAAAAAAAAAAAAGGGATGCAGCCAGCCGAAGGCCATCTCACGGGGAGGCAGCCAGGTAGGTGCCTGAACACGACCGCGTCCTTTTCCCAGGTGATCTGGTGTTGGGGCTCCTGTGTGCTTTCAACCCAACCAGAAACTGGAGGGCAAGGAATCCCAGTGATACCATCCATTCTGGTCACCCCTCACAGCAGGGCGGAAAGTGTACCCGGTGCCCAGACCCCGTTCCCCAGCTCCTGTGACTGCTGGCTGCTGGTGGCTCCCAGTTACCCCCCCCTCTCTGGAGAACTGCCCTCAGCCCCTGGGAGCCACCTCTCCTGGAGATTATGCCCCACCCCTCAGGGTGCCCTGCAGTCAAAGACGCACTGATACTGTGGCTCAAAAGGCTGACCCTGAGTTCAAGATGAGACAACCATACACTATGACGTACGCTTCAGAAGACACAGGGCCACACACACTACCTTCCCCACTTTGGATCGGCCAAGACTAGACTTGACCCGAGACCACATCCTTGCTTGGCTGTGTCCCCTTCCCTCTCCCGCATCCCTGAGTGCCTCGGAGGCCTGCTCCTGGAAAGCTCTCCCTCAACAAAACAAATGGGCCTGAATCCCTGTGCCCGACTGTTGCTAAGGAACCCAGCTAAGATGGTTGGTATGAATTGATGAATAGTCTGTGGATTCAACTTTGCATTCCAGGGCAAACCTGACGTAGAACAAGTGCTTTCATTTTGTTGCACTGATTCATCAGTGGCCGTATTTCACCCTCATGAAAACAAGTCTCCCAAGGCGGTTCTTCTACTTGTCATTCAGTCACGTTCTCAATTAAGAGTTCACTCACAACCTGCTCTATGCCAGGCACCCTCCCCTAGCCTCCCCGTCCTTTCTC